GATTAAGAACCATTGCCCTGGAACATAAAGAAGTGGAAACAATGATGCACATATCTGGAGAAGTAATCCAAAAATTCACATACAAGTATAGGCTGGGTGATAGATAAACTAGGCAGAAGAATTCTGACTGCTTGTCACTCCTCTTCCCCTCCCTCCCACTCTAAAAAGCTTATCCAAATGCAAGCAAAGGGGAGGAAACATTACTATAAGGATAGCCTTTAGTCACTCTGATCTATTTTAAAAAGTAAATCGTTTGCAAAATTAATATTTTAACTATCAAAAATATTTCTTAAATACAGCACACAAATGATCATAATATGCCAATGTGTCAACACCACAGTTGAGAATAATTAACTACAGCCTGCATCTCCCTCACAGGGGTACTGGATACCAGAGACCCAAAGGAGCAAATGGAGCTAACAATATATACTTTTCCAAATATCACCTCTACTCATTTTGAAGAAAAAGAAAATAATAACTATTCTTCTTTCCTTCAACCTCAGAACCCAACTGGATCATGGTGATGATCTTCTTTACCTTAGGACACAGGTAACTTTTTCTGTTTCTTCTTTGTTATCATCAGAATTTAGAGTTACCACTTCTTTAATAGCTACAATTGCATGCAATTAACAAAGGGGCAAAGAAAACTTAAGCCTATTCCCATCAGGAAGGAAAAAGACTAACATGGAAGGTGCAAAAAGAATAAAATAGAGGATAAGTTATATCAATCAACTTGGCAAAAGGACACATGATTTATCTACTAAACAATTTTAGATTTACCCCCCCCCCCCCCCCCCGGAATGCTTACTATCATTTAAGTGGACAAAGGAGAAAAAAATACACTGAGTCCAACATCACTGTCAAATTCTACTCCCCTAGTTTAAATATACCTTTTCAAATATTTTAAAAGTAAATGGGCATTCCTTTCTTATATATTAACTAGAGGCCTGGTGCATGAAACTCGTACACGGTAGGGCCCCTAGGCCTGGCCGGTGATCAGGGCCAGCTGGGGCCTTCCTTCATCCGGCACTGCCCCCTGGTGGTCAGCACACGTCATAGCGAGCGGTCGAACTCCCGTGGGGACAATTTGCATATTAGCCTTTTATTATATAGGATATTAGATATATTTTCTATCTAGCATCTGATCTAGTCTATTAATATTGGTTCTATGGTTTCACAAAATTCTAGAATCACCAGATGCTTAAATAGTAAGTGCCAAGGGCCTCTAGTAGTTTCTGTTTCCTACAGTTTTGAGTCCCCAAACTGCTCCATTACAAAAAAATGTGATTATGGGCATTCATGATCATATTTGTTCCCCACAAGACTCAGCAGTAATTATTCCCATTTTTATATCACAGAGTGGTAGAAATGGAATAAAAACCAATTCAGGTTCATCATAGGCTAAAGTCCAGGTTTATTCCAACATAACAGGCTGATTCTCAATTGGGTCTTAATAATAATCCAAGTAAGGGAATTTTTGGATGAGTATTTGACTGATGTATGCATCACAAGGTAAATAAAAGATTATGACAACAGAGAGTCTACTATTAGATATTTCATTGTTGTGGGGGTAAAAAAAAATAAGGATTGAAAAAAAAATTAACTTCCAGGGTAAAAAAGTAGAGAAATATTTAAAATCTGTCCTAGATCTTTCAGGTATTTAACTAAATTAAGAATAGATGTCAGGGCCAAATCATCTGTCTTGATTAAGATCACTAGATTTAAAAATAAAAATTGCAGGATGCTCATTTAAATATGAATTTAAAATATATTTTTTGTATAAGTATATCCCACGCAATGTTAATGATCATTTTTCAAAAATGGGAAAACATTGTCCTGCTAATTTACAGGAGGTGGGTTTTTGGGGGGTGGGGTTATGTGAATGATTCACACAGTGGTAAAACAAAAGTAAATTGTTTAAAATATATAATGAAAAATATCCCTATACCTTCCCATTTAACATTTTTCTATATTGTGTCTAGATTTCTGACATCCAAACTTGGACCCTTGGAAAATAAAAAGTTTTCTTTTAATAAATAAATAATCCTTGGGATTTACAATTTGTTCAATATTTCTTTTGTTGTACGTTATATCTTGTTTACAATAATTTCCTTTGGTATATAAAAAAAAAGTACATTTCATCCAGTTACTTAGGTCGTGTGCCTACAACCCCAATCATTTGCAGAGAACAGATGAGAAAAAGATGGAATAAAAGGAATGCTGAATCCCTTAAATCGTATTTGAGATACTACAGTACACACACTCCACGTGTTCCCAAAATGATTCATGATCTGACATCTCACTAGTCATTTCATTCACTCATTCCCTTTACTTTTTGCCTACCATATATCACCTTCATTCCTTTATATTACTGTTATTTTCATGTATTGCATTTCTGAAATAGCCTTCATATTTCTATGTAGTCTTTTATTTTTTTTTTAAAAAAAAAGTCATTTGTTTTAGCTATCAAGTCCAGCTTGCAGCTCTACCATTAAAAATTTAAATTGCACCATATACTTACATTTCCCCCCCTTACTCAAGAGAAATAGTTCTCGTGAAATTTACACTACAGACAGGAGGGAAGTAGTGTGTCGTTGACAAAAACAAATTCTTTGTGTACTTCCTATGTGACATAGAACTATATATTAAAGAAAACTGATAATAAAAATAAATTATCTAAATTTTAAAACATTTTATCAAAGATAGTACTTTTATTAGTAAACAGAGCTGCTATGTACACACAAGAATATTTTATACTTTACAATGGAACAATGGGCATTTTCTTTCACAATGCCTACTCTAATCATGTCAAAAGACTGGAATCAAGGTGTAATTTAAAAAGACAACTTGATAGAACACAAACTGTGAAATTCTAAATAATCTGATAATTTACCTGAACAAAATTTAGAATTTATATAAAATATATATACAGATATCACAGCCCAGTTACACATGGTACTTACAGAATTTGCTTATGAGATTATGATGTTACTTTTTACGTTATACATATCACATATTCAACTACACATACCTATTTACATAGGACATCCGGGAGGAAAGAAGAAATGGTTAAGGCTTGGTAATCAATAAAAATACCTTTTGAGGTTTTAATACTACCTTACTACAAACAGAATCTAAACTAGTCAACGATAACTAATTTATCACACTTTTTGTGTGTGATTAGGTTAAATTACTGTTTCGAAACAGGATGAGAATTTATAAGTTAGTAACTCTCTAAAGTCTTTACAACTGCTAAAGGAAAGTACACCCAAACTCCCTTTAAAAATTTGCTTAGTAATTTTCAAACAACCGAATTATAATTTAAATAACTTCTGATAATTACTCTACAACTTTACACTCCTTAAAAAATTTCTCCTTCAATTTAGGGAATCAGTCCTCATAACAGCACAAACTATAATGTCATTAAACAAGTTTAAACTGTATCACATTTTTAAATGATGTGGATTTTACAATACTCTTTCTCTATGTGGTTAAATTATTTTTCTCTCTTTTTTGAAAGAATCATAAGTATTACATTCATGCCATACATTAATAAAGTTTGGTTCAATTGCCAGCAGGCTGACCTTTTTTGGTTAAATTTATCATGCTCGCCATTCTCTACTACGTTCATACAAGCTCTCATAAGCAACAAATTAACCTAACATTTCAAGTCATCTTTGCACTTTTCATCTAAACACACTTTGAATGTATCAACTTACAAGATTATCTGAAAGTTTGAGGGTCAGTGAAGTGGGTAGAGAGAAAGTTGAAATATTTTAAACCCACTTGAAAACCACACACACAAACTGAAATCAAGTGTCATGTGAACCACCCCAATTTCCTCTGCAGCCTAAATCAGCAGCATATGTTCAGCTTCAACCCTTTAAAAAAGTCCTCTGAGCTTGCAACTTCCTCTTCTCGGCCAGACATCGTCAGTCTCCTCCTGCGGGTGACGGTCTCCGGGACTCGGGAGGATGCGGGTCCGGCGCAGACCCGCGCCCCTGTCCAGCCCGCTGGTGAGGCGCTCACCGGCAGCTCCCCGCCTCCCCGCCTCCCCGCCTTTGCTTACGCTGCTCCCTCGGCCGGGAAGGAGCCCCTAGGACCCTCACCAGAACCCCGAAAAGGTCCAACTCGAACGCAGACGACTTGGTTTACTTCCCCTTCGGGTACAGGCTGACCTCAACCATGGCTATAAATACGAGGCTCCCTCCTTTGCCCTCTGAGCCGTTCCCTTCTCCCCAAAAGCAAGAGTTTCACGCATTTATTCACTGAAAATGAGTATTTACATAAGCAACACAAAGTGGTTTTCACCCCTACCCCTACTGTAAAACATGGGTATTCTAAAAATTCTCTTTTCCCTTCTTTCCAACAAAGGAACAAACAAAACAAAACAGAACTCCGTAAATTAGGATGTGCGCACTGTAAAAGTTGCCCACTTTGTCGAAGCAACATTTCCACTTTAAGCCCTGTTAAATGCCCCTGGTGGCACATATTAAAGGCACATATTTTGTACCACTGTTAGCACAGCAGCATCACCTCTTAGCACTGGATGAAATTAAACTAAACTAAACATACACACACACACACACACACACACGCACTCAAAGCTCTCCTGAAGTCTGAGGTTCCTCATTTCTAGTCTAAAACACAAAACCACCATTTCAAAATCCATTTTTCAATACGAGAACTCTTTGTCTCCTGCTACTTAGATGATTACTTTCCTAACTTCTAAAGCCAAGTCGTGGGGAATTTCTAAGGTTCCGGCTATAGTAATGGCATCACATTACAGAGCATGGCTTTGATTTCGCACGCAAACCTCGAACCATTTTTTTTTTTTACAAGACTGACAATTTGCCAGAGAAGGCGATTTTAAAGTCAGAAGGTTCCACAATCAAAACGGAGCCCCCGAAACTGAGCAGCAAGCCCCCCTGCCCCGCGTCCGGGACGAGCTCCCTCCCCACCCCCAGACCCGGATCGGCCCCGGCGCCGAGCGCACTCACCGGAGGCCATGGCTCCGCTCCGCGCAGCGCGTCCGGACCGAAGGCAGCCGCAGTCAGTCAGCCCGCCGCGCCGTCCTCTGCCGCCGGGACCCCTGCGTCCCCCAGGCCACCCCCGGGGCGTCTTCCTCCTGCCCGCCCTCCCCTGGTTTGCGGCTCACACCTTCCCACCCCCTTAATTCTCGCGCTGCGGATGGCCCGGCGTCGCCCGTCCAGGGTGCAGAAGCCAGGGGGCGAAGCGCCGCGGGGCCGAGCGGCTGCCGCTGGAGAGCCGGGCGCCCGGCTGTGGGGGATTTCCCGCCGCTGACGTCGGCTCCAAGCCGCCGCCTTCCCGGGGGCGGAGGCGCCGGGCGACCTCGCGCCGAGCGCGCGCGCATCCGCCCTCCGCGGCCCACGCTCCGCCCCGCCGCGCCCCGCCCACGCTCCCGCCCTGGGAGCCGCGGGGACCCGGGACTGGGTCGGGGCAGCAGGTGCGCGCAACCTTCGGGAGCGCAGGGAGCGCTTGGAGCCGGGAGTGCTGGGGTCCCGAGCGTGCGGAAGCGCCGGCGCCCGAGAAATCCCCCGCCTCCAGGTTGTGCTAAAGAGCTCGATTTAAAGTTCAGGAGCGAGGAGGCGGGGACGGTGACGTCGGGAGGGCCGGCCGCCGGGAGCCCTGGGGAAGGGGCGGGCAGCGAAGTGAGGCGGGCCCTCCCCGGGCGGGTGGAACCGGGGCCCGGGGTTTTCTCCGGGTGGTTCCCCCCCTCTTCCCGATTTCGCACATGCAAATCTCCGCCCCCGCGCCTGCGGGCGGCGCTGCGCTACGGCCGCGGTGCGCCCGGGAGGGGAAGTGCGGGAGCGGCTGTCGTCCGTAGGCACTTGTAGTTCATGTATTTGCATCAGGGTCCTCCGCAGTCTGATTTTCCCTCTTCATGTCTAAATTAACTTTACGTACTTTACCTGGCTTCTTCAACTCTGAAGGTTCACCGCACTGCGAGTACGTTATATCATTACGCAGTGTGCTCAAGATTCGTGGGGTGGACCCTATCCTGGGATTTCACAGATACCCAGAAGGAAAGGGTGAATGGGAACATTTAGCGTGTTTAAAGCAGTGATTTTCAATATTTTTCATTTCGTGACACATAAACTAATGACTAAAATTCTGCGGCACACCAAAAAAGTGTATTTTTGCCCATCTTACCAAAAAAAAAAAATAGGTATAACTTTGATTCATTAACACTAGATGGCTATTGTTGTGTTGGATGTTGGCATTTTTTTCATCTGACCACCTAAGGAGAAAGATGTCAGTGACCCTGATTAAATAGTCAAGTATTGCATGTTTAAAAAATGATTGGGGCACACAGGTTGAAAATCGTTGTGTTGAAGGAATCTAGTCTTTGTTTTCCTTCATGTGCTAAGAACCTGTATGTCAGCTCATTTATAACATATTGTTATCCTCATTTTATAGAGGAGGTAATCGGGGTTCAGAGAAATTAAGTTCCTACTTCAGAATGTTGATAAAAAGAAAAGCACAGTTTCAACAATGGGTTGTCTGATTCCGAACCTCCATGCCCTTTCCACTTCCCTTGCTGTCTAAAATAAGGATGGGGAATGGGGAACATCAGCCTGCCACACAAGTGTGGGAACTGGAGGGCCCAGCTGGGGGTGGGAGGGTCTCCTACCAACCCCAAAATATTATTTCCTCAAAATGTAGAAAAGTACAAAAGAAGGGAACTATGATAAGCATTAAACCATATTGTAATGCACTAAAGAGATTGTAAAGACAAAGAAGAAATCTCACTTGGTCGGTCAGGAGGATGGATTTTATTCCAGTTTTACACAGAAAGCTATTGAGAGTTTTTAAGCGTGTGGTTGACTTACGATTATATTTTGAGATGTTCTCCCCGACTGATGTGTTAAATTGTTAGCATACACTACAGGCATGGGTGAAGGCAAAGCAGTTAAGAAACGCTGGGGTAATCTGAGAAGTAAAAGTGGTGTTTCGACTGCTGTTCTGAGGAGGTGGTGAAAAGAAGTCAGATTTAGTAAGATACTGTGGTAGCAGAGCCAGAAGTACTAGGTAATGGATTGGATGTAGGTGGGAAAGGAAAAAAGGAATTGGAAATTCCCCTATTTTTGGTCTGAGCAACCAAGTAAAAAGGAAGAAAAAGGTTTGAGAGGGAAAATCAGATATTATTTTACAGATGCCTAATAGATACCCCAGGAGAACATGCAGAACTAAAGCTAACGGGAGAGGACAGGGCTAGGAATACAGATTTGGGAGTGAGCAGCATTTCACCTAGAGAAAATGCAGATAGAGAAAAAAATTTTAAAAGAGCACTAGGATCCGCCAAGTCTTAGGGGACTGTTAGAGAAGAAGGAGCTGCCAGGGAAGTAGGAGGAAAACCAATAGACTGTGGTGTCCCAGCGAATGTTTCAAAAAGAATGGAAGTGGTCGGCTGTTGTCAATGATACTGAGAAATTGAAAAAGATGAGAATAAAGAAATGACCTTGGTTTTGGCAAGATGAAGATCACTAATGACCTTGATAAGAGTCGTATCAGTGGAATGGTGGGGATGAAAGTTGAATTGAAGGAGATTGAGAAGAGAGTGATGGAAACCATGAGTGTAGACAATTAATTATTCAGAGTGTTAAAGGAAACAGAAATGGAGCAATAGCTAGAGGGGGATGTGGAGTGATATTAGGCCAAGGCTATCACTGACAACTGCAGTCTCAACATGTTAACATAAACAGAGCTTGTTTATCATTTGAGTCAGTCCAATGTGAGTTGAGTGGCTTTCTTCCAGGACCCAGGCATGTTCAATCTCATAGCACCAACATGTAGCCGTCAAAGTCACCTCAGAAAAGGAAAGAGAGTAGAGAATCAGGAAGGGGAGATTTTTTTTTAATCCTCACCTGAGGATATGTTTTTATTGTTCTGAGAGAGAGAGAGAAAGCAACAACAACATAGATGTGTGAGAGAAACATCAATTGGTTGCCCTGGCGGGATTGAACCCGCAACCTTTTTGGCGTACTGGATGATGTTCCAGTCAGCTGAGCTACCTGGCCAGGACATGAATGGGAGATTTTTATGGGCCAAGCCTGAAAGTGGAATACATTATTTCTGGTCGCAATCTACTTTCCATATGGCCTCCACAATGGGGCTGAGAAATAAAATTTGAGAAATGTAATTTAGCTGTGTGCCCAGAAAGAAGAGAAGAAAATGTGTCCATGAGCATTAGCAGCCTCTGGCACTGAAGTTTTGTTTTGTTATAGAGGGTTTTGTTTTGATATTAAGGCACATTTGTATTAAAATGAGACTGACTCAGCAGTGAAGGCGACGTGGATGATGATAGAACGCAGGAGGTAATGTGTGAAGAAGAGAGAAAGAATGAAATCTAGAGCACAGGTTATTGAAGAAGAGAGAGAGAATGAAATGTAGAGCACAGGTTATGGGGCTGGCTGTAGATTAGAATGGGGACACTTCTTCAGTAACAAGAAGGAAGACAGCAGATGCAGAGAACCTGGTAGACTTGATGGTATGAAGATGAGGTAATCAGTCAAATTGCCTTTTGTTTTTTTAAATAGTGAAGAATGATGATGTAAGGTTCAACTGAGAGTGGAAGGCTAAGGCAAGGGAATGGGAGGCTCAAGGAAGAAGAGACGCTGAAAATATGGTATATGAGAATGGAACTTTATAAGGTATATCTGGCTGTACTAAATATCCATTTGAAATTAGTGGTCATAAATGTAATGTTAGACCAGTAAACAGCTTTTCTTTTTTTAAAAAAAAAAAATTTTTATTTATTTTATAGAGAAAGGGGGGGGATAGAGAGATAGAAACATCATTGAGAGAGAATCATTGATCAGCTGCCTCCTGCACGCCCCCTACTGGGGATTGAGCCCGCAACCAAGGAATGTGCCGTTGGCCGGAATTGAACCTGGGACCCCTCAGTCCACAGAATGACGCTCTATCCACTGAGCCAAATAGGCTAGGGCAATAGTATTTCTTATATGGTTTTTAACCTAGGGCAGTGGTCGGCAAACTGCGGCTCAGCAAACCGCGGCTCTCGAGCCACATGCGGCTCTTTGGCCCCTTGAGTGTGGCTCTTCCACAAAATACCAGCTCTTCCACAAAATACTGACTTCTGCGCATGGGCCACGAAGTTTCAATCGCACTGTACGTGCGCGCCCACACGTGATATTTTGTGGAAGAGCCACACTCAAGGGGCCAAAGAGCCGCATGTGGCTCACGAGCCGCGGTTTGCCGACCACGGACCTAAGGGATATCAATGGATAATATGAAAAAGAAGACAAAGAACTAGGAAAACTTAAATCTGAATGGGAATATGAGGAAGGAACACATAATACCGCCCCACCCACGCACTCCTTGAGTAATCTTGTCGATTCTCATGATTTTACTCATGGTCACAGGACCATATGTCCAGCCTGGATCGTTCTCTTGACTTCAGACCTATATATCCAACTATCTTCAAGACACCTCCATGGGGAAAGTCATAGGCATCCAAACTCAACCTACTCAGCATCTGTCCCAAGTTTACTCATCCTCCCATATGCCTTATACCGCCATCTTCCCATAACTAGGTGAAGGCCTGGGTGTGGGGTGGGAGGGCTGGAAGAAGCCAATGGGAGGAAAAAAGGGACATTTGTAATACTTTCAACAATAAAGATTTAAAAAAATAAAATTAGGAGCCACCCTTGATTCTCTCACTGACCACCCTCATCAACCCCACAACATCCAGTCACCAAATCCTACTGATTTTACCAATCAAATATGAATCCATTTCTTTTCCATCTTTTTTTTTGGGCTAATCCTCACCTGAGGATATTTTTCTATTGATTTTTAGAGAGAGTGGAAGGGAGAGGGAGAGAGAGAAAGAAATATCGATGTGAGACAGACACATCGATTGGTTGCCTCCTGCACACTCCCTGGCCAGGGCCAGGGAACCTGCAACCAAGGTACATGCCCTTGACCAGAATCGAACCCAGGACCCTTCTGTATGGGGGCCGATGCTCTTTCCACTGAGCCAAACTGCCTAGGGTCATTTCTTTTCCATCTTGCCACTGTCCTTGTTCAAATTATCATCATATTTCACCTTAACTTCTGTAATCATCTCCAATTAGGCCTGTCTACACTTTTGCATTCAAACCTATTCAGACCCTTTGCTGATTGAATCCTCTGTATGGATGCACATCAGACCATACTCTTGTGCTTTAAAACCATCCATCAGCCTTAGATCCAAACTCTTAGAGGTGACTGATAAGTTCCTCTATAACAGCGGTTCTCAACCTGTGGGTCGCGACCCCGTTTGGGGTCGAACGACCCTTTCACAGGGGTCGCCTAAGACCATCGGAAATCACATATAATTACATATTGTTTTTGTGATTAATCACTATGCTTTAATTATGTTCAATTTGTAACAATGAAATTGGGGGTCACCACAACATGAGGAATTGTATTAAAGGGTCACGGCATTAGGAAGGTTGAGAACCACTGCTCTATAATCTGGCCTCTGCCTCTTCAGCCTCATCTTCTGCACTCCATGCCTCCTTTA